AATAATAATAATAATAATAATAATAATAATAATAATAATAATAAAATACTTATCATTTCATGATATATATAAAATATAGGCATTAAAATTAATATGATAGTAATAATGATCATTTTTCTCTCTAATATTTATTAGACTTTATTTTTAATAATTTTCTCATTAATTTTTGAGAAAAAACACATTCAATAATAACTTAGCCAATTTAGAAAATTATTTATAAAAGAATAATGATACATGTATATTGGACAATGGTTTATATAACATTACTTTTTGTGATGTGAAAAGCTTCTTAATGAAGCTCCATGACTCGAGAGATTAATTTAGTTAAGTCTCTTAAATGAATTTCCATAATTCAAGAGAATAATTTAGATTTGGGTTAGAAGATATCCTAGAGAATCAAAATAAATAAATAAATAACGCAGTCAAAACTTATGTTTGCTTTTCATTGATATGGCTTTGATTCTGAAGCCCCCAAAAGTTCAGTAACTATACAAATCTATTTTTGTCCCATGAGACCCTGGAAAGCCATCATACAAATATGTTGTCCAAGTACTAAGTGGCGGTGTTCAAAGGAAAAAATGATAAGTTAGGTTTTTTCCATGTTATATACAACTTTGAGTTTTAATGGAGAAGGGATCAAATATGGGTAACTTTCTTACTTTTAAATTAGTTCAGAGAAAGTGCTGGTAAGCTTTTATGATCTGACTGCCACCAATGTATATCTCATAAAGCAGTGGTTTGGATGTGAATGAGATTCTCCATTCTCTCTTTTGTTTCTCCCTTCTATTTTAATTTCTTTTTTAATCCATGTCTAATTACTACTTAGAATTAAGAGTCTTTGACTACTATATATATATGACATAGTGCTACTCATTGGAAGGAACACAAGTGTACATGCATTTCCAAAACTATCTTAATTAGTTTGGGAAGATGTTGAAAGGAAATCACAGTAAGCATCCAAAATGAACAGCATCTCCACTTTTGATGCATGAATCTATACTTGACTCTCTTCAGTTCCAGTTTTCACTAAACAGTGTCACTCACATATGTAATGTCTTTGTGTGGATAAAAATGGTTCAACATATGCAATAGTAGACACAAAAATTGCACCCTTCTCTGTTTTCTCCAATAAAGAGCAGTGCAAGTGTGTCAACACTAGATGTTTGTAATTAGACCAAGCTTCTTTAAAAATATAAATTAAACCAATTTAGCCAGATAATCTTAATTATATGTGCAGTATTATATATCTAATTGCTTTCGGGTTTTTGCCTATTCAAGCAAGGTATAATTTATTCCAATTGTTGGTATGAGCAATGCTAAACCACACAAATCAGAATGCTCCCCTTTCCCTATGATTAGTACAAGGAAATCTGGAGATCTAGAATGCACAATTGCGTATATGGGCAAAGATTAGATATGCAGGTAAAGATATAAGCAGAAAAAAAAAGATATCCATGTGCATGGAAAAATCTTCATCATATGACCAAAGAATATGTGCAAATTGATGTGTGATGGCACTTAGGGCACTGTCAAGTTCTAACACCTATGGAACCTTTTTTGTTGTATACGTACTTGTAGGATGGTACATGTGCACGTGGGAATGTCAAGTGTTACTTAAGGCCTAATAGTCTTCTGTTGCATACAAGTTACATATTATACCATATTTGCTAAAACAGAAAAAAGTTTTGTGAAGTTTAATTAGTCCATATGATACAATCATTACCAACATATTTTTGGTCTCCTAAAGGATGATTAAGTTAACAATTTGGTTGCTTTAATGTAGGATTAAACTAGCAATGCTAGCTGTTCTCTCCTTTTTGGTAGTGCACCCACTAAGGGGCATTCCACATTCAACTCTCTTCTTGCCCTCTATTTGAATTTATCTGTAGCCCACTCTCCATGTCTGTCTCCATCCATTGACTAACAAAAGTGACGAAAGCCGAAATGTGAGGACCAAAAGCACCATTCCACTGAAGTGGTGATAGGTACCACGGAAAATTTGATACCAACGAAAAGGATTTAGCAGCTTTCACCACCTAATTCATGTGAATGTGGTTTCTCAGTATTAGAGCTGGGTAAAATTCTCCTTAGAATATGAACCGTTTATTAATGAAAAAAGAAATAGACAAACACAGGATAAATTATGGGTTAAAACTTACATGTAAGGCAATGTTATTCTCTGATCAGAATTGGAGTTTTTCTTTGAATACACTCTCCTCAATGAGAACTTGATATTTAAAAAGAGTGAAGATTGCAGAATTGAACATGTGCAGATGATTCAATAGCGGGTGACACAACCTAACAACAATTAATAATCATTAGAATAGACTTTCATACCATCTTAAAATGTAAATTTAAATCTTATTTATTGATCCCAATATTATTCAACCTTACAAAATAGACTTGTAAAGGATAGTTTCTTATTTATATATACTATTATGACTTTATCTTTATTTGATATGAGATCTACAATATATAACAAAGGATCTTATTAAATGTCAACGTGTATAAATTAAAATAAAACTCAGACTCTTATCATAGAACTTCTCTGTATACCTATATACCTATGACACTTGTTTAAGTAATGGTGCGTCTTACTGATCATATGTGGGGAAAAGTAAAAACTAGTTAATTATAATAGAAAATACAACTATGTTGACTTGAGAAAAGGTGGAGAAGCTGAAAGAGGTAGGTTATTTTGAGCCATGCAGGGAAATGTTGGCAATGTGCACATGCAAACACTTACTACTTTGTTTGTCTTTTCTTTGATGTAATTATGCAGTCGTATAGAATAGTACAGTTGACTTAAGTGTTGTGGGTTAAAGGCTACAAGTTATTGCATTTCATCATATCACTATGTTGGTATTGGGTGGGGTACACCATCACAAGAGCTCTCAAGTCCCCAAGTTTAAAAGGGGGTGCTCCTGCCTCCACTTCCTTGCCAAGACACGTACATGTCATGTTCTTAGTTCCAATCTAGTTGCTGATAAAATAAGAGGAACCTTCATACTCGTCATGGCCCTTAAGATCAACACTATCCTTCTACTTCTGCTCTTGATCCTCATTCCCATATCTTCAGGTGAGTATATATGTTCTTTATGTAATTGAATACAGTTACAAACATTTAACTCGTTCTAGACACATGTAACAGATTTTTATTTTTACTTTTGGTTTTAGGCTTGGCTGAAGGCTTCAGAGAAAACATGCATCCTACTCGTGGCTTACTTTATAAGGTAACCTATATGTTTGTCTTCTTATTTTAGTTAATTAAATTGCAAATAATGGACCTTATAAGTCAGAATATTGTTAGAAATAAATATGATGGAGCTGCATTGAGAGAAACATAGATTCTTGCTTGGCTTTATAATGTCACACATAGTTTCAAAATAACTTACACCGAATTTAAAATCAATTATAAAAGTCAACAAATTTATCATACACTATAATTTCTTATTAAATGATAGTATAAAAATCTTTTGCATATTATTTACTCATTTGCAATTTGAAAATTGAAAAATATTGTGTATTATATATAATTCAATATTTAATATCTAGATTATATATATGGTTCTTTTAACTAACAAGTTCTTTTTCATTTTGGTTTTGAATGAAGGGTGGGATCAAGGTGAAGTCAAGGAAGCTTTTCGGCCATGATTTTGTGTTGGATTATGATGAGGCAGGACCCAACCCAAGGCACACAAAGAAACCTGGAAAGGGCCCTTGAATACCTTTACACCTTATAATGAAATAAATTAACCTATATTATATATATATACCATCATCTCTCTTCTTACTCAATGTTTTGTTCGTGTATGAGGAGATATATATAAACGATCGAGTTTCTTCATCGAGCCACTACTTGTGTGCGTCATGAGGCAATAAATTCGTATCATATTTTATTATGTACACCAGATGCGTATGTATGGACTATGGACCATTAAGCAGAGAATATATATTATGATAAAGTTTTAATTACTATTTATTTGCTTTCCAATTAAAGACTGTGATGTGTGAATTCTATGTCCATTGCAACAAAATCTGAATCTGATTCTGGGACTGAAGACGAAATTTGTTGTCGTCTCATATAATATTTAACCACGACGGAAAGAAATACAGAAATAAGTAGCAGGCAAAATTAGTTAAAATATAAGCTTATTCTTGGATACGAATACGACACTTATTTCAATTTATTTTTTATGTTGATTCTTTTAATTTAATTTCTATAAGTGAAATTGTTTTTAATTAACAGCATTCTTGCTGTTATTTCCATAACATCACCGTGAGAATAACACATACAAAGTAAAATCACCTATAAAGATAAAATGAAATGTCTCATTCAATTCTCTTATAGAAGAAACTCGTTTTCAATTTAGTCATTTAATTATTGAAATGATTTGGATCTAATTTATTTTCAAAAGTTTGGTCAAAGGGAGAAAGATTATCCAACTTAAAAAGGATTACGTACGTAAGTCTTTTAAGAAAATTATATATTTCTAACTAATGTGAAACATGTTATAACAAGGTTTTTTGATTTTGGATAAAAGTATAACGATACTCTTTGTAGTGCTATAACTACAACAAACAATATTATTACAGTATATCAGATAGAGAGTTGCTATTCATTCCGAAAAACTAACCGAAACATCCTCCGAAATTTTTAAATATTCATACTTTTTAATAAATTTATTATAAAATAATTATTTAATTTAATATTTTATAATTTAAATTATTATTTTAAAGTTTCAGAATAAATTTTGGAGGATGGATTTGGAGGATCTAGAATTTTTCTATTATAAATTTAAACTGTAACAGTATATGAGAAATTCAAAATGATTACAGAATAGAAATTAAATTGAAAACAAATATTATTTATGTTCTTACCGGAGATCGGTCGTGGGGGATGATCTGCTGAGCAAGATTAGTGAACCTCCTTCGCTGGGTACGTCGACTGTTCCGAAGTGGGGACAGTACCTGCAAAAGAGACTCCGATGCTAAAGTTAGTCTTTGTAGGTGTATAAGTCTCGTATATGTAGTGCACGTACCTTAGTGTGAATTAGGGTTTATCTGGGTCTTGGGCCTGAGGCCGGTTATGATCCGTTTAGATGGTGGGCCCTTGTTTTGGTCGATGTCTTGTAGCGCTCATCCGATGTCACTTAGCACTTTAGTGCCGAGCTCAAGCTCGGTTCCGCGATACGGATAGTACACTAGCTCCCCGAGCTCCGAAGACCGTGGGTCGAGGAGTTAATGCCGAGCTCAGTGAAGGGTCACGACTATTCATTTTTGCCTCTTAAGGCAGAGTGCCATGTGTCATAAAGTGATATCTCGTTTCTCGAAACGCATGGGCGGTGTGTTAATGGGAGGTGACGGTTTACAATGATGGGATGTACCCGTCATTATGGGCCTCATTTAATGCCCTGCCCGCTTTGTCGTTTTCTGCCCTCATGTCACTTCCGTTTTCAATTTTGTAAAACGCTTTTCCCTCTCTTCTTCGCACACTCTCAACTTCACTTTTCCCTTTCTCCTTTGGCTTCCTCTCGACGCTTCGTCTCTTCTTTGCCCACCCTTCGTCTCCGTTCTCTTTCATTGACTCCGTTTCCGGTGATCAGGTCACCGTTCTTCGCCATTGTCCTATCATTGTCAAAGGAGTACCAGGTACTTCTCCTCCTCTATCTTCTTCTCCGTTTTTCCCGTTTTCGAATTTTCTCCATTTTTAATGGCTGGTGAGGGAGAGAGTGTCGCACCTTCTACGCCTGCCAAAGGCAAGGGCAAGGCGCGCGACAAGGCGGCGGCCGGCGAGATGGTCGTTGCTGAAAAGAAGAGGGGTGGGAATAATCCTAAGGATTCTCACCCCACCATTTCCGTCTCGGGGTATGAGTGGGTTAGGGGGAATGTCGGAGAGTTTGAGAGTTTGTTCAAGGCGTTTGTGGATGTCAATGCCATGTGGAAATCTCTTAAGATTTGCAATTCCAAAATTTCCAAGCTCGTCCGGGTTGAGCCTTTTCAGCCCGGTGAGCGTGTTTACATGGCGGGTACCCCTAATACCCCATTTTTCTATATGTACGAGTGCTTCTTTAGGGACCTCGGTGTTTGCTTGCCATTCACCAAGTTTGAGTGTGCTTTCCTCCAGTTTGTCAACGTGGCTCCCTGCCAATTGCACCCCAATAGTTGAGGTTTTCTTAGGGCTTTTCAGGTTTTGTGCTCAGCCCTAGGAATGGGTATGTCTCTGCCTGTCTTTTTGCATTTTTACCAACTGAAGTTGGGTGACCCTCTCCTGGGTTGGGTGTCTTTGAATGGGAGTAAGGCTGGGGGTTGTTCCAGCTTTACTCTCAGTCTTACAAAAATTTTAAGAAAGATTTTTTCCGGGTCTGACCTACGATTGCTGATCCGAGGGAGGAGGTGGTCTTCCATAGCGAAGGGGAGCTGAGGTTCCCTTTCTTCTAGCAGTGGAGCCCAGTCAAGTTCAATGGGTCGAGCTTTCTTCAGTTGTCAGATTTAGATAAGGAAGACATCGTTAAATTGGCCGAGCTTCCACACTTGCTGGACAACAAACTTGTCCTGTCCCTTGCCAATTTGACTGATAAGCAAAGGGGTTTAGAGAGTGAGTATTCCATTGTTTTCCCTTTGACTCTTCTCTCTTTTTTCTTTTTGTTGCTTCTTGCGATGTTTTGACGTGTTATGCTATTTTGTGTTTGCAGGTCTGATGGGGAAAAGCAAGTGGCGCAACCTGAAGGCCAAATTTAACACGGAAGAGCTCGAGGTACCCGAGCCTGGCGAAGTGGTGCCTAACGAGGAGGTTGCCCCGCTGGAGACTCGCCGTAAGAGGAAGAGGGCGACGAGGGAGGTTGGTGGGACTTCGACCCCTTCCGCTTTCGACGAGGTGACATCGAGGGTCGCCGATGCCAACCCCATTGACTTAACTGATAGTCCCCTGGCCAGGGGGTCGCCAAGGAGGCCCGTAGTGGGGGTCACTCCAGAGAGAAGGGTTTTCCCTTTGCTCTGTGAAGTTCCCCTTTTGTCGTGTACCATTCCCGCTTTATAACTTAACACTTTACTTTGAATTTGAATGTTTTGTAGGCGACTCCCGTGCCTTCCTTCGCTGAAGCTCGTGGGGAAGGTCCAAGTTCGGAGGTTCCTCCAACCTCTGTTCCCACGACCTCGGTTCCTCCAACGTCTGCTCCTTTTGCTGCTACGCCGCCTCCTCCTCCAGGTGTCCCGAGGGGGAAGTATATTGTGCAGTGTTTTGATGTTAGTCGCCCCTTGGCGAGATTGGATCACGTGAGCGTGTCACCGGACGTGGACTCATTGTGGAGTTCCAAGGTGACCGCCGAGGCCTTTTATAAGGAGGATTCAGGCTTTGTTGCTGATAGGGTGATGATCCAGAAGGTTGGTCCGGTTGAGGGCTTGGATTCTGCGGAGGTGTTTATGTAGAGGTCCATTGCCATAGTGGACCATTGGAAGCGCAAATGGTCAGATCTTCAAGGTGAGCTTGAGAATGCACAGAGCTGGGTCGGGCCCTTAGAGGAGGAGAATCGGGCCTTGAAGGCCGCGCTGGGGGAGGTTGCAAAGAAAGGTGAAGTTGAGCTTCAAGCTTCGAGGAGAGATCTTTCAAAGGCTCAGAAGTCTTTGGAGATTGCCTTGGAGGCCAATGAGGCGTACATCGTCGAGGTTGGTAACCTGCAAGAGGTTGCGAAGATCTGCAAGGTCGATGTAGAGGGCGCGCAAAGCCGAGCCCTGTCCTTGGAGGAGAAGAACCGGACCTTGAAGGCTAAGTTAGGGGAGGCTGCGGAGAAGCGCCTGTGCGACGAGGTGCTCCTAGCTGGTAGGGAGGAGGAGATCGGGGCCTTGAGGACTGATATTGATGCGTTGACCAACTCGAAGAAGGCTTTGGAGGATAAGCTTCTTGAGACTGAGTGTGCCGTTGTGATCGAGCATCGACGAGGTTTTGCTAAGGCAGTGCGTCAGGCTAAGTTGCTTGCGCCAGGGGCCAACCTCTCTGCTATGCACATAGAAAAAGATGTGTGGGGTGGGCAGCTGGTGAACAAAGATGACTTGTCTGATAGCACAAGTGGCAATGCTGCCTCTTAGGCCTTTTTCTTCTTGTTTCCTTGTAATTATTTTAGTTTGCATTTTTTATGTATGAACTCTCTGTTTTATATATTTGGATTTCTTCTTCGTTTGCTTCAATTTGGTGCTAGTCACTATGATCTTGATCCTGCGCTTTTTGACTCAAATCAATGTTGCCTTTCTGAGGTTCGAACTCGACCCTTAATATAATTTGCGCAAAGTTCCGAGTGTGACCTTGATTTAAAATGAATCGTACCAAGGTTCGAATTCGACCTTGACTTGGTATAAATCGTGCTAAGTTTCGAATTCGACCTTGGCCTAATGTAAATCGTGCCAAGGTTCGAATTCGACCTTAACTTAATATAAATCGTGCCAAGGTTCGAATTCGACCTTGGCTTAATGTAAATCGTGCCAAGGTTCAAATGTGACCTTGGTTTAATGTAAATCGTGCCAAGGTTCGAATTCGACCTTGGCTTAATGTAAATCGTGCCAAGGTTCGAATTCGACCTTGACTTAATATAAGTCCTGCCAAGGTTCGAATTCGACCTTGGATTAATGTAAATCGTGGCAAGATAGTGCTAAATTGAAGAAACATGGATAAAAATAAGTTGCTTTTATTGATGTTGTGGCTGTGACTCGTTAAAAACCTTCTCAGCCAAAACCTATCTTTCTATTTTTTGGGACAAAAGATTAAGTAGGGAAAAGAGTGCGCAACCCATTTATACAATTTAGCTAACATAAAACTTGAGATGGGTGGCATTCCAAGTTCGCAGGATGGTCTTGTCGCCGAGCTCTTCTAGTCGGTATGCGTCGTTTTCTAAGTCTTCTGTGACTCTGAACAGGCCATCCCAATTAGGTGTGAGTTTCCCTTCTGATGGATCTCTTCTTGCTTCGCCTTGTAGTCTCCATACCAA